GGGGGAGGTGGTGGGTGAGGACAGCCAGTTTAAAAACCAGCTCCCCTCGTGGCCGCAGCCCCTGTCCAGAGGGGCGGGGTGAGGGAAAATCATGTCCTCTGTAGCGTTAACCTATACGCTTTTGCTTATTGGATAATCGATTAATCGACGACACTATCGACTACGTCCCTACTGTGTGGCGAGGGAGGGAATAGCTGATCTAGCACCAATATTGCACGTTGAAGGCTATGGTGATGCCCCTCCGGGAATCCAGGACTGCTAGACACTGGGGCAGTGTAGCTGCCCAGTCACTAGCTGGGGGCTCTCTTGCAGCTGGCGGGGGAGACCCCAGGACTCTCCAGCTGCCAACAGCAGTGCTGGGACCCAGATCTCTCCAGTCACTGGAGAGCGGGGATCCTCCCTCTCCCCAATGCTGGAGCTCTCCAGCTAAGGCAAGCAGTGCCCATCCCCTTCCCCCAGCTCTCAGCCTTGCAGCAGTGACTGGAGTGGCCGGGAGAGGCACTGGTGGCGATGGTTGGGGACTAGGGATGTTCAGATGTTTTTATTTAGGTAAATGTGTACCTGTGGGGTTACATGTTTACATGCAAGGGGGAGGTGGTTGCCCAGAAAGAAGGTGTGCATGAGGAGCTAGCTTTTAAGCCAGGGGCGGGGAACCTTTTTTGGTTCCGGGGGCTACTGACCCACAGAAAAAGCAGTTGGGAGTGGCGAGGAGTCCTGTGGCACCTTATAGACTAACTGAAGTGTTGGAGCATAAGCTTTTGTGGGCAAAGACTCACTTGTCAGATGCAGTTGGGAGTGAGAAGTAAAAAAAAACCCCTCACTGTTTTCCTGGACTGAGAAGGAGAAAGACATTCCCTTGGAATACCAGATCCTAAGGGGGCCCAGCCTAGTAGATTTTGTATGTTCCAGCTCTCAGGGGGACAGCTGGGGGACTTGAGCATCAGCACGGGATCCTCAGTACTGTGGGGGAAGAGCCCTGAACCTCAGGGACCAGACCCAGGCAAGCTGAGGGCCGCATCCAGTTCTTGGGCCTGCGGTTGCCCACCCTGGCATACTGACTCCAGCGGAGTCACCTGCCCCTTCCCACTGTCTCTTCTGCCTCTACATGTGGCAGGAGGGAGCTGATGCTCATGGGGAGCTGGTTTAAAAGCAGAGGCAGCAGAACAGGAGGCAAGTGGCTCTGGGGGATTTGGTATGTGCAGGGAGCCAGCTCCTCCTCCTCCCCCCCCCCATTGCTGCCTCTTTTCAGAAGCAGCAGTGCTGGGGGGCAGGTGACCCTGTGGGAGTTGGCTCCCTGGGAGTACCAGCTCCTGCCTTCCCCACCCCCCTGCCTCTGATACATAAGTAGCGGGAGGGGGAGGGTGCGTGTAACCATTAGGGTTAACTCGTAAGCCCAGGCTTATCAGTTAACCATGCTCACGAATACACATTAACATACCTGATTTTCAAAGACTTTAGGGATATCAAAGGATTTTATATCTTAGTAAGGTTTGATTGTGGTGGAGAGTTCTCTTTAAACTAGTTCATCAAATAGCTGGACAAATGACTTTCCCTTTTACTTTTGACTATCTGGAAGAAATGGAATGTTGTCCTTTTAAGGGCTCTCTTCAACAGGGGAGTGAAAGGAGAGTAGGAATGGATAGGAAGGACAGGAAAACTTTGGAAGCAAGTTTTTGTAATACGGAAAACTTTGTTCATATGGAACATTTTAATTATTATATTTTAGATAAAGATGGTCTTTAGGATTTTTTTTTTTAATTCTATGTCTAAAGAATCAAGTACTTAAGGTCAAAGCTGAATACTCAGATTGTGCATCCAAATATCTATGCGTGGATTTTTGAGATGTGATTTTTATCATTTTGGCCACAAACTCATGAAATATTTAAAGCAAATTGTAAACTGAGGCTTTGTAACGAGTAGTAATGCACAACTGTGTTTTGTCACTAAATAGGGTTGGCATATGCTGTTAAATGGTTTCATTACTACTTAATGGTTCTTTCACAGGTTCAGTGTATTTTAATAGGTCTGGCATGCTGAAAGACTTTTCACTTTTAAGATAACAAATTCACTTCAGAAGAGTCACCAGTCTTCAAACTGCAGCAGGTGCTGTGGCAGCCTTCAGGAACCCTCAGAACAGGGATGGTAGGAAGAGGGGAGAGGTTGAACACTGGAACCTAAGGGAGGTTTGCCTCTTATACTCACCACCTGTGGTGGTTGGGGATCCTTCCTTATCTGCCAGCTGATGGGGAGAGGCAGGGGCTGCAGCTCCTGTTGCTGGAGGCACTATGCTGGATCCGATCCTCCTGTCCAGTACTCCCTATAAGCTGAGTGCTTGGGTGGCCACACAGGAGAGATTCAGATGTGCCCACCAGATATTCATAGCGCCCACAGCCACAGCATATGTTTCTGCTGGTAGTGCACATCCATCATGCCTTGATGCACATAAAATTTATACACATGAATGGAAAAAAATTAGAAGGAACACTGGTCCTGACACACTCTTGACTTCAAGAGTTTCTTGTGGCAATGGATTCCAAAGGTTGTGATGAGTATTTTCAGATCCTTTTACAAGTTTTAAATTTGCCTTTTATTCAGTCCCCCCCCTTATATTGCAATTCATTGCTTTTATGTGCTTAAGAGGTACCTCCTTTTGTGTTCTCTGCAAACTAAAAAGACCCATTCTTTTCAAACTTTGTTCATATGGAAGTATTCCATTCCTCACTTATTTATATCACGTGTCTCTAAACCCCTCTGTCAGCTATATTTTTTATTTCTGAGTGACTGATTCCAGATTTTTTTTCTGTTGCATTCTTTGTTTTAACAACTTGTTCCTTTATTAAATACTACTGCATGTTGAGCTGAGGTTTTTATTATGTTGTCCTCAGTGATATGCAGGACTTTTCTTCTAAGTGGGTAGTTCATTTAAAGTCCAGCTATATGTAAGAGCAGTTCAAATTATTCCTTTCATGGGTTCTGCCTTGCATTTGCATGGGTTCTGCCCAGAACTAAATTTCATTTGTCTTTTTGTGCTATGCATTTATCTGACTCTTACTTCTGGGGGAATTTTGTGTCATTGCACAATGCAGTTTTTCAGAGATTAACATGCTTGCAGAATTTCCTTTCTCCCATAGAAGTGGGCTGTAGTGCTGCTGGCCATCAGTAGGGGCTGCTGGATCCAGCAGAGCCCATCTTGTACATAGAAGATGCTGCTGGGTGGGGGACAGGGAGAAGGAGGAAAAGGAGAGAGAGGGACCTAAAGGGTACCTGACCGCTACAGTTCCCAGCACCTCCTGGGGAAAGGAGAGGACAGTGCACAGGAAACTCCATGCAAGCTTGGGATTAAGCATCAGGCTGTTTCACCCTCAGGATCCATGAGCTTTGTCAGGGGATGGGTGTGGATGTCTGGACTCAAGTTTGGGTTGGGTTCCAGGAGAGAAAGGGGACATTAACATCCGTAGCCCAGATTCAGATCCCTACTTTCCACACATCATTTCATCAGGTTTACCTGGTCTGGAAGTAAGGCTTACTAGTATGAAATCGGTTTTCATCATAATGTTAGGACTTGACTCGTGGCTGAAAGTCATCTTTTTTTCAAGATGCATCACTTTTTAATATTGCTAATAACATAAGTGTGTGGTTTTCAATGGGGTTTAATTATCTTTGTCATACAGTTGGCTGGGGAACAGATCAAGGGATTGGCGGATTTGGAGAAGAACCAGGAGTTAAAGCACAGCTAATGAATCTTATTCGATCTGTACGAACAGTCATGAGAGGTAAGGTGAAAAGAACAGTTTAGTTAGGTACTCACTGTGTGTTTTTATTGAACCAGGCACATGAATGAGGGTTTTTGCCTATTTAATATAGGCTTTATTTGACCCTTTTACTATTATACCTTACCCCCTTGTTACTGTTTTTACTCATTATTTTCAATCTGTCCTCTCCAATCCTCTTTTTCATGAAAAATGCATGGTCATCCTTCTGATTGTCTTGAGAGGGAAGGTGCAGGTTACATGGTTAATGGCCATGTATGGTACCCAAGACTTAATACAGCAGAAAATACCCACTGCCTTCCAGCCCATGCAGGCTTGTAATGTTGGCTATCCAACAGGTCATCCAAACCAAGTATTCCACCTATCATAAAAGCAAGTTTTCCCCCCTTTCCTATACTTCAGAATCCATGTGATGGAAAGCTCTGGAACTACCTCATGTAGAATAGTAATAGAAATGTAGCTGTGTTAGTCTGGTGTAGCTGAAGCAAAATGCAGGACTATGTAGCACTTTAAAGACTAACGAGATGGTTTATTAGATGATGAGCTTTCGTGGGCCAGACCCACTTCCTCAGATCAAACAGTGGAAGAAAATAGTCACAACCATATATACCAAACGATACAATTTAAAAAAATGAACACATATGAAAAGGACAAATCACATTTCAGAACAGAACACATTTCTGGTTGAAATGGCAAGAAATTGTTTTTTCTTTTTGATCCTGTCTGATATCTGTTTTGTGGGCATTAATCCTTTGGCGAAGTGTCTGAGACGTTTGTCCAATGTACATAGCAGACGGACACTTTCGGCACATGATAGCATAAAATATATTTCTGGATGCGCAGGAATATGTGTTCTTGATCTTATAACTCACTTGGTTAGGTCCAATAATGGTATCAGCATAGTGAATATGTGGACAAATCTGGCAACGGGGTTTGTTGCAAGCGAAGGTACCAGGGTTGGTATTAGTGTGGTATGTCCTGTTGGTTGTTGGTAAGAAAGGACACTGTCTCAACGACTTAACTACCTGCATTCTGCTACAAAGACCTTTCAGATCTGCACTTGAAAGGGAATCCTCTGAACTGTCATTCATGCTAAAATTCGATACTCTCCGGGGGGATTGAACAAAGACCCCAACTACCTTACCCATTACAAAGATAGCTTCCCCAATTATCACCTCTAATACCATTAGCTCACAGACATCCCACTCTCCCCACCTCTAATATCATCAATTAACAGACACTTACCTTCCTTCCTTTTTTTTAAATTGTATCCTTTGGTATATATGGTTGTGACTATTTTCTTCCACTATTTGATCTGAGGAAGTGGATCTGGCCCACGAAAGCTCATCATCTAATAAACCATCTTGTTAGTCTTTAAAGTGCTACATAGTCCTGCATTTTGCTTTACCTCATGTAGGACACCTTATTTTTCTATCTTATACACTTCATAAGTTGTGACCATCCAACCACCCTTAATTGGGGTAGCTGGAATTATTGTATCTCCATCCCCTGTATAAAATTAAACCATAACTGAAAGAGCTTATCCCACCATGAGCTGGATTCTTCATTTCCTCCCTTCTCTCCAATTCTCTTTTTGCCTTCCTCAGATCTGCTTTGGAAGTGGGGTTTTAGGACTCAGGAGATCAACAGGCAAGGAAATTGGCCATGTTACTGACTTCAACACTTTCAATGACTTTTCATTCATGAGGAAAAGAACCTACCTGTTTATTACTGTCATGAGTTATATGGCAACAAGATGACCTCAACTAGTTCCTAGTAAGAGGACATTTGTAGAATTCTAGGCTAGTAAGGGGATAGTCATAATTCAGTTGATTCACATACAAAGTGTGAGTGGTGAATGACATCAGAATAATTCATAGCAGACTTACATATAAGTGGAGCCTGTATGGTTAATGAAAACATAGGATTCCTTCACTTCTAGTTTACTGATACATGGACTGGGCATGTATGTTTACTGATACATGCCCAGTCCAGAGGCTATCATTATTTGATGGCTGTGAGGCTTGTACTGCTTCCTATTTTGTCCTTTGTATTTTGGGTTGTTAGCCCTCAGGACATTTCACAAACCCTGAATTACAAAATCAAATTAAATTTGAAAAAAGCAATAACTGTAACTCCCTGTTTCCAAGCTCAGTGATCATATTCCATTCTGTGTCTGTCCAATGTAAAATGAGAATTTCCATAATTTTCTGTTTTTGTTTTTGTTTTCTTCACAGTGCCCTTAATAGCAGTGAACTCCATTACAATTGTGTTACTCTTGCTATTTGGTTGAAGACCGTCTGTTGAAAATGAGTTTTTGAACATCTGGAATGAAGAGACTGCCAGCCACCATCATCATGAGTTTATTGGATCCAACATGGATTAGCTGTCAAACTTGGCATTCGATTTAAAATAATAAAGACACAATTTCTATTTATCTTATTTCTTAATGTTCACTTGCAGTTTCATTACACAAGATAATGTGATCAGTGCAACAATTCTGTAAATATATTGGACTGAAACAAGTTTTATTGCTGATGGTTAATAGCGCCAACTGTTAGTATGTTGTAACATGTAATGATTACAAAACTGCACCCTTTTAACAAATGTCTTATCACTCAGGGATGAATTTCCTGCCAGTACACTTAAGTTTATTTTTATTTAAAAAATAAGTTGTAGAGTTTTCAGTTTCGTAGTTAACTCAGTATTATTAAATAGACAGTTTGGCTATTAAGATGTGTTACAATGTCAGGAACAGATTTTTTTGTGTGAGTGCGCATGAATGGAGATAGGTGAAATCTGTTGAAGGCAGGAAGAGTTTGTCATCACTAGGATTTCATCCATGGTACATAATTTCATCAGATCAATGACTGTTGAAGCTAATGGCAAACAGTGTTTTGACAGTATGTGCAATAACTATGCAAAATCTAAACTGTATGTACCTAAGGCAAGGAAACCCAGTACCTGAGTGTTAAAATTTAGATTAGGAAGTGAAGTGCTCACTAGTATTTTTGTTTTGTCAAAGAGTTCTCAAAGTATTTGCTAAGCATATATGTAGTAAGTAGTATGCCTGCTGTGGTGATCTGTAGCAGTGTTTGTATTCTAAACTGCTTTGGGTAATACTGAAGGAAAATACTGCATCCTTTTTTTTTTAAATGCAGTTTAGTTTTTAAAAAGTCACACCACAGAAACAAACTTTGGAGGCAGTTATATTATTGTCTTGTTTTATTACTTATTCAAAGTGAAACACTGCAGTGCTTAATCAAGTAAAATTCCGAATTCAGTAAAGATCTTGCCTTGAAGTAAGATTAAAAGATCAGGCCCGTGTTCTGTAGTAAGTTTGAATTAAAAAAGACTGATTCTTGTATACCTTTAGAAAAGCCAAATGTGTATTTTGCTTTTCCCGTTTTCTAGAGTGTGATCCAAACTATTTTAACTTAAAAAAAATGGGGAAGAAAAGAAGACTGCAGAAACCTGGTAGTTACATTATTGTTTTAGAACAGTTTACTTTTAGTTTTATCACCTCTTCTTCTGTCATTGACTCAAGATAAAATATTTTTTATACAAGGATAAATCTGTAAAACAGCATGTGACTGAGTTTGGTGATCTTCAGTTGTAGGGTCTTACAGAAGCAGAGTTTATTTAGGAGAAAAAGATTTTTGTTAGTGAACATTTGTAAATAAATTTGAATTTCTAAACTAAGCACTCTCTCTTTCATAACTCACTTTCCATAAAGTGGAAGGTTCTTAGACCAATCTATAGCTTGTTTCAGGTAATTAAGATATTTATTTTGTATGTACTGTCCATTCTCAAGGTTCATAAAGCATTTGCTTCTACCACCATTGAAATACAGTTTCCTCTGTGTGGAAGGGCAGTAGTCAATCCAATGCCAGCTTGCTGTACAACTGTAGAGGAATGGCATTTTTGGCCAGAGTGGGATCAGTTCCTACAGGCTTATCTTGGAAATTCCAGGGAACAGGGAGAACATCATTTTAAAAAGAGATTAGCTGAGATCTTTAAAAATTACACAAAGGTATCAAGGTTTTTTTTATTACACCAATTTTATACAGATACCTTCCTTCACTAATGTAAACTGGATGACACTGGGCAATGACAGTGCAAGTCTCCCTACACAGCACTACCATTCTGTCAACTATGGCTACTGCTTTTGCTAACCAGAACAGGGAGTTCATGTAGAGTTGGTCATTTCAAATGTATATTTGGATCTTAATGTAGAGGTAAGTCATATTTTGGCCTTAACGAGTTCCAAGTGTTATCTATCTATCTATCTATCTATA